TAGGGTTTAGGGTTCGGGTTTAGGGAGCTTTGAAGACTAAGCAACAGAGTTTGATGGTTCTTCTTCTAAACTTTAAACTCAGATTTTGGGGTGTGATAGCATTTCCACGGGATTTAGGGCTACTTAGTAAAGACAGCGTTCCCTGTGCTAGTGGCAAGGCTATTGCTCAAGATAGTTTGACCCGCAATGCCTCCCAGGTTAATTCAGTATTCATGATTTTGGGCTTTATGTGGCTTCGGGATGCAGGGTTTGAGGATTTAGGGCAGGGCCGAGGGTTTAGGCTTCAAGCTACAACCTCTAATTTTTCTACAGCGTTTATCGTGGACTCTCTAAGGCTCATCCTTTCCTTGGCACATTTGGGTCTCACAGACCGCACGCTTGGGGTTTTGGGCTCAAAAGGGTAGAACAGCGGATTTCTTTGCTACTACAGTTCGAGTCGTTCATCTGATACACTGCCACTTTTTGTTCTACTTGTTGGTCTCGATTTATGTATGGGCCAGGACCTTTGGACATCGAACCTTCAAAGGGACCTCTTTAATAAAATCTTCGCAGAGCCTTTGCAACTACGAACCTGACAGGGGCCCCTCAACATCGTAGAACCCGTATAGGACCTTTACAGTTGCCACAAAGCAACAGCTGCAGGCCACCTACACTGCACTGTTGGACGGGAAGGGGGAGCTCGTCGGGGCTGTGGCAGTCGGGGGCCACAGCCTGGTAGACAGTTTCTTTCATGCCAAACTCAAAGGAAAGCATAATGTAGGGGCCTAAATAATTACCAACACCATTTTTTTATAATTCTCGTGTACTGGGCCCGAAAACCCTATTCTAATTATTAAGGCCCCGCAATAAGTGTCTCTTCCATGGCAGCCTGCTGCCTGGGGTGCAGACTTTGCATAATTCCGCTTCACTCAGAACAATGGCTCAAGAGAGCCATGCTTGGGCCCACACCATGGAATCGGAGACCAACGCAGGCGTCCGGATGCCCCGACTCACCACCGCCCAAGAAGCATCGCCAGCGATTTCAGGGACCTCGGGCCAGCCTGGGCCAGGCTCTGTGCAACGGAGGTTTGGGCCTTGTGGCTTTGAGGCTGCTGTGTGTGGTACCACTGTGGAGCCATTCGCGTCCATGGCAGACGAGTTCCGCCCGCCGCCAACGAATGCTGAAGAGGCCTTCCTACGATCGGCCGACCGGAAAGACTGCGCAGGTGAACTTTTTGAACTGCCCCACAGATGGAGGTCATGTAAGCGTCAGGAGTGATAAAGCTGGGCCTATGCGTCATGCAATCAAAAGATGTCGAACACCTAAGCAGCTCATGACCCGGATCGATGAAGCCGTGTCGAACAACCTGCTGGAGCCCAGCATCTTCGGTGCGGCCATGCAAACGTGTGGTTTCAAGGGGTGGTGGCGGGAGCTTCTGGCATTGCTGAAGCTTCGACAGCAGCAGGGGGTAAGTGTGGATCCAATCGAGGTCAGTATCGGACTGACAGCCCTAACCTCCTGCTTGAAAAAGCGCGGTGCGTATGGGGTCCTTCAATCGCGAGCCTCACTCGCTTTTGACCTGGCCAGGGGTTTGTGCAATCGGTTAGAGATCGATGTGATCGCAGATGCCGAAATCCTGAACTGCTTCACCAGCAGTGTGCTGAAGCTTGCCACGTGCCTTCGTTCAGAGGCAGCCCGCGCATGGGCTCTTGAATTGTGGGATCGGGCACGAGCCCTGTCTTTTTCATTTAGTGGTATCACATACAGCACATACATTCAGTTTTTAGAGCAGTACGGACTCTGTGAAGAGGTGGATGCACTCTTGGAAGATGCTGCGATGTCACAAGCATTAAACTATATAGTCTTGTCTGGCCTACTCGAGCAGGTCTCTTATCGCAAAGACCGGGAGCGGGCGGAGGTCCTCTGGGCTTACTTCCTCAGGAAGGGCATCGAGCCAAACTTAATCTGTGTGCTTGCCCGAGCAAAAGTGCATCTTTTGGCAGGAAGACCCACTGTGGTGCTGGGGATACTCGAAAGCGGAATGGCTAGATGCGGGTCGTGCTTTGAAGAGAACGGGCGGCTTGTCCAAGAATACGCACAGTCCTTCCTCATTGCTTCGCACTCTTCCTTAGATCCACAGGTTTTGCACCACCTTCGTGAGTTTCTTGAGAGCGGACATTTCTCAATCGAAGAGAAGACATCGGCTTCGATGAGAAACTCTTTGAAACAGATGAAGTCCTTGGCCGAGATGTTGCTTTCCGACCCTAGCAACTTGCGGCTTCATGATCTGCTCGTCGAGTGGAAAGCCAGAGAGATGAGCGTAATGGCCAAGTGGGATAACTTCCGAGCTGGCACAAGGTATCTGGACGACTGAAGCGCCTGGCTTCGCATCTCCGGTAATCGTGGTGGAAGGCATCGCAAACAGAACACTCGCCCCCTGCACCCCTATCAATCCCGTAAGTTCCAAATTGTCAGCAAGATGCCCCGGAAGCCGTCAATGTTTCAGGCACATAGTCACCGGTAATGGTCCCCGCTCGCTTTTGCGGTGTGGGCGTAACCTCGATTTTAGTTTGCTGGTGAACCCCAACTCCACAGAAAGCCTAAACATCTTGTATAAGGCTCTATTGTGCATGAACCTTCGCAATAAGATCCCCCACGTCGGCAGTATTGGATCCTGTCCTCTAGAATTTAATATTCATGGTCTTTGGGTGTAGTCCCTCTGTTTCAAAGAACGAAAGCTCCTGGGTGACCACACCCTAGACCACTACAAAAGTCCAGACTGACTTGGGCAAAGGTAGATCACCAGCACAAGGAATCCGTAGATCCCATACGCGGCCCTCACAGAGCAGTCCCGGCAACCCAGACAAGACCCTTTCCTGTTTCTTCAACTCTGATATGGCGCTATGGTGAAACCCTTATAGAGACACCGCTTCGACAGAAAACTGCAATCAGACCACCTGCAGATGATGATCTGCACACCCTTAGGTCTTAATGCCCCAGAGGAGCACGCCCAAAGCCACCAAACCCTAAACCTTACAAATCCTAAAGCCTACACCCTAAACCCTAAACCCCATAAATCCTAAAGCTATACACCCTAAACCCTAAACCCTATAAATCCTAAAGCCTACACCCTAAACCCTCAACCTTCAACCCCTTAAGGAACCTATTTCCTTCGGAGCTGGGCACAAGCCGTCGCAGGACATGGCCATCCTCGATGCCATCGGTGCAGAAAGCGTCGCACTCCGCTGTGACGACCTGGCCAGGGCCTCAACTATAGAAGAAGCCATAAGGGTAGTTTTCTGAAATGGGGCGGCTTTTGGGGTGCTTTTTAAAAGGGTGCCATACTATACGGGGGACCCAAACAGGGACCCTAATTTAGAGAACTACCCAATCCTCCTGCCCTTAAAATAAAAGTGCAGATTAAGGGATCCTTGCACAAACCCTCTTCAACCCATTTTCCAACTGTCTGGGGATTCAGGGTATGATCTTGGATCTTGAGCTACCAAAACCTGCATATGTAGGGTCCTATTAATGTTGTATAAAGGTGTATAATAAGAACCTGCAAACAAGTAGGTTAAGGTAGCTGAAGCCAGAGGTCTGAATAATAATTGCCAAGGCCGTGCCACTATGGTCTCAGCACACTGTTTCCTCTGCCCAAAGTCCTACTGAAGTCAACCGAGACATGAAGCTGAGTGTCCCAGTTTTGCTTCGGAGCCCCAGAATCACGCAGACCATCGAATCACAACAGCAGCGTTCCTTACAAGGGAGCCCAGCGCTTAGATTAGGTATCTTGGCGCCCTCGGAGGTCTCATTCCCGAATCCTGTGCCGGAAGGGTTTAGGGTTTAGGGTTTAGGCAAACCCTATTAATCCTAAGCCCTAAGCCCGAATGCTGTCCCGGAAGCCTTCGAACCCCAAGCCCCTAAACATAGACCTCATGGTCGACCTATAGTCTCCGTTGTAGTTCCTTTTCTGGGGGTCAACCAGTTATATACTTATATTTAGGATCCTATAGGGTAACCCCCCAAAAAGGAACTACAATGGCGACTTTAAGTAGGGTGAAGAGTGAAAGCACAACACCCTGAGACTGAAGCCCGACTCTGGGGCCCTAAACCCTCAAGGCTCGAAAGCTCTAAGCCCGAAAACCCTGCAATGTAGGGGCCTTAACAATTAGAATAAGGCTTTGGGGGGGGATATTATACTACAATTGTCATAAGGAGCCCCCCCAAACCCTATTCTAATTATTATAAGGCCCCTTCTGTTACCCTTCAGCCCTGCAGCCCCAAACCCCTATGCCCTATATCCGAGCACCCGGAAACCCTAAAGCCCTACACTCCTCAACGCTCACCCCTCAGCACCCTTACAGGAACCCTTCTAGAAACTTCAGGAGGAAGCCGCGAAGGTACACTTTCAACCCTAAACTCCTCTAATCCTGTAAACCCTAAAGCCCTAAACCCCTAAACTCCAAAACCCTAGTCCTGTAAACCCTGAAGCCCTAAAGCACTAAACCCCTAAACTCCTAAACTCCTAAACCCTAATCCTGCCTTAAACCCTAAACCCCAAACCCTAAATCCGTAAACCCTGAAACCCTAAAGCCCTAAAGTGGCAGGCCGGCACCAGCCTTGTCCTCTGCGAGGCGAACCTTTCGCCTGCGACCCTCGAGGCTGTCACGGTTTCGGGCTTAATGTAGGGTCCTAAATAAGCTTAGGCTTTAGGGTTTTGGGGTTTAGGGTTTTAGGGTTTAGAGCTTGAGGGTTTAAGGTTTTAGGGTTTCGGGTTTAATGTAGGGGCCTACCCATAGGCCCCATAGTAGTTCCTTTGTGGAATTTCCTTATAGGATTCTAAATATGAACCCCAGAAAGGAACTACTATGGGGCCGATGGGTAAGTAATTACCAATGCTAGTTTGGGGTTCTTGATTATAACTATAGTATAGTGGGCCCCAAAACCTTATTCTAATTACTAAGGCCCCGATTTTAGGGTTTAAGGTTGCGGGTTTGGGCTTAGAGTTTAGGGTTTTGGGGTTTCAGAGTTTAGGGTTTGGGGTTTAGGGTTTCGGAGTGTGGGAAACACTAAACCCTAAACCCTAAGGGGGCTTCAGCGGTGAGGTCGCAAGGCTCTGCGGTTTGAGTTTCATCGGGATTACCATAAGGACTTCCTGGAAGGGTTCCTTGCAGGATTGCCTGTAGTCTCCATTGTAGTTTTTTGTGGGGTTTAGCCAGATAAAGTTCTAAAAAAGGTAACCCTCAAAAAGGAACTGTGATGGAGAGCACAGGTAAGCCCTCACAGCCTTGAGCCCCAAGTACTATTAAACCCTAAACCCTAAACCCTAAACCCTAAACCCTAAACCCAAGGTGGTGGTTCTTGGAGACCTCCATGGGTTGCGTCTTATCAGGGCTTAGAGTGCAATCCTCTCGGCAACCAGACTGTCAAGAAGAGACGTGTAACACGGGACGCCTTGATAATATGGTGATTTTAAGAGCAATAAGTTAAGTAATTATGTAGTTCTTTCTTCATCATCCTTTAGCAGAGCCCTATTGTACCGATTATGGGCCCTATGGTACGTGTAGTGCTTCGACAGCCAGAGCCTGCACCAAAGCAAGACTGCCGGGGGGGTTATAGGGCCAGGGGTTTCTTAATCAGGTTCCTACATTAGCACTACCGAACACGACAGCAAAAGGTCGTCTTGGTTACAGCAACTGTTAGCAAATCCGCCTGGCCCTGCGATGCCCGAAATCCTAAACCCTGAACGCCTAAACTCTTAACCCTAAACCTTTTTAAGTTTAAGTTTTAAGTCTGAAGTCCTAAACCCACAAGACCCAGCAGTTGTTCCGAGCCCGATGCTCAGGCAGCGCTGAAGAGTTGCCGTCGGCAGCAAAAGCCAGCCTGGTCGGATCCCGAGTGTTCAGGGGCTTGGGGCTTTTGCTTTGGGGTTTAGGTGTTTTACCTGTAGTCCATAGTTTCTATTTGGGGATACCTTATAAAATCCTTAATGAACCAAAAAAGGGAACTACAATGGATAATACAGGTATGTTTCAGGGTGTAGAGGTTGAACTGGGGCCAGTTGGGGAGGATGTAATGAAGTGCAATTTGGTTTCAGAAGGTAAGAATGAAGGGTAACCCTAAACCCTAAACTTAACCCTAAACCCTAGACCCTCAGAGGAGAGGCGTGGCTCTCTGGATTGTTCGAGTGTCGCATTCGGCTCCCCAAATTGACTGAGGGTGGCTGCGTCTTGCGGTCGAAAAATCTTAGAAGAAAAGAGATTCGTACATGTTAGGGTTTAGGTTGTAGGGTTTAGGGCCTGCCAAGTACCCTTTAATGCCCTTCCCGTCCCGAATAGTTGGTATAGAGGCCATCGTAGAGGGCGGTTGGGGGCTCTAGTGACGGATTCAGGGTGTAGGGTCGCTTATGGAAGTGCGAAGTTCGAAAGAGCGCGCTGCCCACACCCACGACACCTAGAAGCCCTAGGAGCACCTGAGAAACCTCTCTGGAATCAGCTCTTGATTGACATTTTTTAATTAACCCTGAGCCCTAAACCCTAAAACCTAAACCTAAACCTAAACCCCAAGCCCCTAAACTGCCCTGAGCCTTGTACCCTAAACCCTAAACCCTCAAACCCTAAAGCCCTAAACCCTAAAACCCTAAACCCCAATCCTAAACCCTAAACCCTAACCCTTAAACCCTAAACCCCAAACCTAAACCCTAAACCCTAAATCATAAACCCTTAACCTAAACCCTAAACCCTAAAACCTAAACCCCCAACCTAAAACCCCTAAAGAGCTGGGCTCCAAGCCGGGATGCAGCGGCCGAAGGTTCGACCCGGTCTCGGTGGCGAAAGCACCCCGAGGCGCCTCCGCCACAGTGAGCTCTTCAGGGCTTGGGAGGGCTTAGGGTTTAGGGTTTGAGGGCTTTAGGGGTTTATGGTTTGAGGGTTTGAGGGTTGAGTGTTGAGGGTTTAGGGCTTAGGGCTTAGGGCTTAGGGTTTAGGGGTTTAGGGTTTAGGGGCTTAGGGTTTGAGGTTTAGGGGGTTCAGGGAGCTAGAGCGGGTTTAGCGTTGAGGGGCTTTGGCGTGGCTTGGCGTTTGTTCTGTCTTTGCCGTTCTTCAGACAAGGAGTCCTCGTTCAGGCATCCTTTTTAATCATGGGATGTTGGCGTCTCTCGATTTCAGACTTTTCCCAAAGCTCACGGCCAATCCCGGCGCTTCAAGCACTAAGCCCGACTGCTTAAGCCCAGCGCACCTGGAATCGACAAATCCAGACCCCACCTGGACCCGAAAGAACCTAGTCCTTTAAGGACTTGTATAAGGAAATCATAATAAGGAACCCTAAAAAGGTAGGTTCCTTGGGGTCCAGGTAAGCCCGACCCATCTGAAAATCAAGAGGCCTAGACTAGCAAATATTGCTCATCACGGCTATCGAAGGATATTCATTACAGTCACAGTGTGTAGAACCTCCCAGATCTTGTTCTGATTGGCTGCACTACAGAGTTTTGAAAAATCACCAAAGGGTTTGAAAAAATCAGTGGTTCTCTCCTCGTATAGTCTTTGTTTATGCGATGTCATGCCCCTAAAGCCGCTTGCTTATCAATCATACAGGCCCCGGTAGTACGCTGATCTCTAGGGCTTTCAACTCGACCTGACTAGCAGAGCATGAAGGCGTAAGTTGCTAAGCATTAGGGCCTCACTATAGGGCCCCTACATTAAAGTAATATAGGGCCTTAATCAATAGAATAGGGTTTGGGGGTACATTGTATTCTCTCTCTCTCTCTATATATGTATATGTATTTTTATTTACATGTTTTTTCATCTATTTAATTTGTTGTAAATAAGGAACCCCCAAAACCCTATTCTAAATATTAAGGCCCCTACGTCAGGTTGCCTTTCCCCGCGCTGGGACCTGGCGGCGCCGAACTGCGACGAGTTGCTGGCAATGCTGGGTGCGCCTCCAGCCCTCGGGTTTGAGGGTTTAGGGTTTAGGGCTTTAGGGTTTTAGGGTTTAGGGGTGTAGGGTTTTCGGGTTTAGGGTCTAGGGGTTTAGGGCTTTAGGGTTTTAGGGTTTAGGGGTGTAGTAGGGTTTTAAGGTTTTAGGGTTTAGAGGTGTAGGGTTTTAGGGTTTTAGGGTTTAGGGGTTTAGGGTTTAGGGGTTTAGGGGTTTAGGGTTTAGGGGTTTAGGGTTTAGGGTTTTAGGATCTAGGGCTTAAGAGTTTTTAGGGTTTACCTGGACCCCCAAGAATACGTGAAATAATGGCCCAAAGCCTATAAGCGGCGATGTTTCTGCATACATTTTGGAGTCCAGGTAGGGGTTGAATGTTTTTGGGTTGAGGCTTTTGGGTTAGTGCTTCAGCTCGAGAGCCTTATGGCGTGAGCCTCAGAAGCTGAATCAGCTCTGTGAGTGATCCCTTTTCCTTGCTCCTAAAATCCTAAACTCTCAACATTCCCAACAACCTATATGTAAACCTGGAAGTTTAGGGTTTAGGGTTGAATCTAAACCTGCTTGCATTCTGTCGTCTTGCGTTTGCAGGCAAGCCGCCCGGAGAGATGTTGGATTGGGAGGCGCGGAGGGTGAGATTCTCAGCAGGCGCTGGAGTTCTATATGGGACCTACAGAATCAAAAATACGTCTTGGGGTGATATTGTAGTATGTTTTTTTGGAACTACTCCTGGAGTCCTGACAGCTCTCCCAATGAGCGCTAACCCACCCGCCAACACCCCCCCCCTCCTGCCCCCTCACTAAAAAAACGACACCTATTTTAAATTAACAAAGCCCCGACACTACACCCATATACCCTTAAAGTAACAGTAACACTTTTACACCCCTTTAAACGGAACCTAAACGCTGTTCTACCTATTCACCCATCAATGTATTGCGGATGGGAGTTTCTTGTATCTCCGTATTCGCGGATTCCAGGAGGGACTGCCCTCCGCCCTTCGTGCGGCCGTAGTGGAGGCGCTCTCCACAGGCCACCGACGGCTTCAAGAACAAACTAGGGATACTCTTCGTGGGTTTTTGGTCCAGGGCTTGAGGCTTCAGGACCGCATCCTTGCCTGGTGTAAGTGTAGGGTATAGAAGCATGTTGTGAGGTTGTCCTCGGCCTAAAGAGCTCACCCAAAAGCTCATAGTCTGCTAAAGCCCAGAAAAGTTCTATGCAGCACTTTGGGTTCAAGCCTGGGTCGATCCGAGGACTTTGCACGAGATGCTTGGGAAAGCATCCCAATGCTTGAGGTTCCGGAACAAGTTTTGGGGAGAATTTTCGGATGGTTTTGGGATCTCTACTGCAAACACTAGGTGAACCCTAAACTCTACTGTAGTGGGCTTCAGAGTTTGAGATTCGTGAGTGGCTGGAGTAGCCCCGGGGGGGGCTGTGTCTCAGATCCATCGGGAAAATCAGGCTCGGGATTCGAGGATGGTGTTCATGCCGACTACGATTATCACGAACTACTAGCATTGTTAGAACACTGGTATGGCGTCTACGCGTCTTGTTATGTTCCTAAGGACCTATTTTAGCGAGGCTTCCACGAGATTGTGACCGTCATTCTTGCTTCGCCGAAAAGCTAAAGCCACAAACCTGAAACTGCGACTCTTGCAGGGTGCGGGGCCGCAGAAAGGAATCGCAAAGGCAAAAGCAAGGAGACCGGCCCGCCACGGAGGATGTGAGAAGTCGAAAGCTCGAAAGCCCGAGCTTCGCAGTGCTGCGACCGAGTATTCCCAGAGACTCCAAAACCCTTTAATTGAGGAATATACTTTAAATTATGATTTGAACCCTAATAAGATTTAAGGTATATTCCTTAATTAAGGGGTATTGGAGTCTCTGGGCTCTTCCTTCAGGAAAGTTGCGTTGAAGCAGGACCCTGGCTCCAGCCTAGGCTTACATATGCTGAAAGAGGCCGCAGCGGTCCGTTTGGCTGTCTCCCACGATGTGATGATACAAGTCAATTACAGGCTCCTTAAACCCTAAACCCTTAACCCTAGAAACCC